GTCCGGTCATGGGCCTGAACTCTGGGTCTGAGCGCTGTCCCTCAGCTCTTCAGCTCAAGGCTAGCATTCTGCCACTTGAGCCACAGTGCCACTTTCGGCATTTTTCTTTTTGCTTATGTGGTGCTGAGGAATCGAACCCAGGGCCTCATGCATGCAAGCCAAGCGCTCTACCACTGAGCCACCTTCCCAGCCCTGGTACCTGGCTTTCTGTAATATGCTTTTTAATGGATCCATAGTAAACTCGAAAGGATTTATCAGAATTTAATTAACCATCTCCTCCCAGAAGATATTTAAATTGCTTCTAAATAAATAGTGCATGAGTATCTTCAGTTCTGCAGTTTTTTTCATGCATATTACTAAAAGTATATTGCTTAAGTCAGCACCTGTACACTAAATAATTAATATTTTTGTATAATTGCCTTCTAGAAAAGTTTTATCAGATTAGTTTCCTATCAGGTATAAGAATACATATTTTCTCTAAGGGTACAATTACTATTTAGATCATTATACTTTTTGAGGAAAATCTTATAAGGCTTTGTAATTTAGTCTTATTATTTCACATATGAGTTGATTGAGGACCAGAGAGTGACATATGCAGATCCAAGTCTAGAATCATGGCGTACTGAATTCTAGATCAGCTCATTTCCATATTCCAAGTCTCCATATCCCAAGCAGTTCTTCTGTTCTGAGAGAAAGCGAGGCAAATTCCAAGACATAATGGGAAAAATAGAAGAACTGAGGTTAATGAGGGGAGAGTAGAATGCATATATTTATCAGTAAGTAAGATGCATGTTAATTTTTTTGTTCCCACTTCCTAATACTCACTTGTCCTCAACTCTGTCTGCTTTGACATTCTTTTCTTATCAAGAGGTTCTAAGAATATGTGACTCCTTATAATCAAGCCTGTGTTGAGCTTACTGCAAACCAGTTGAAATGAATACTTTTAAAATTAACAGAGGAAAAGAATACATTACCTTCTAATACTGTCTTTTTCATTTCCTTAGGTCTGCTTTCTGGGTTTTTAGATCCCCCAGCAGCTTTCTTATAGATTTGATGAAATAGTAATCTTTTATTAAAGCCTCATGGAGAAGAAAGTATGCCAAAGTGAGAAGGAATCAGTATTCTTAGTATGATTTGAATTTTAATAAAGTAGATTATAAATTTTAGTCATTATTCTTTGAAGGAAGAAGTTTAGACAGAGCTTTTTAACAAATGGATTAAAATATGCTAAAAAGCCCAGAAACAACTAACAGACACTATGAAGTGTCTAGACTAGAGGTCTGGGTTAGATCTGATCTTTTAAAAATGTCTGTATTGATTCCTGAAGAAACTGTAGAGAAAAACTATACTTATTTAAGTACTATTAGAATCTCTTTGAAATAGAGTTTGAGTCATCAAAATAGTTATCATAAACTTTACTTAATGTATGATGTATGGTGCCTGTTCTTATAGGTACTTGTGTATCTGGGTTTTTACCTTGTATAGGGTCTCAAATGTTCAAAAATTGATGTTTCCCTATCCCAAGATTCTTTTCTTTTTCTTTTTTTGAGGGGGGGGCAAGCAAGAGGGAAAGGGGATTGTTAGTATAATTTAGTGCATTATCTTTTAGAAATTGTCCTTGTTTCTAGCTAACTGAAATGTGGATTTACTTACTATACTGTTATTTGAATATTAGACATTTTCCTAGATCTAGTATCTGAATATAATTATAAATGCTAGAAACATCAGTGATCGAATTTAATATCATTCTGACCAATAACTAAATCTTGTCATTTATACCCTTCAGATTTTACCTGCATTTTCTCTGAACTTTGAACTGACTTCTTCTTTTTTTTTTTTCCTCTCTCTTTTGATCTTTTCTTTGTGGATTCAAAAGGAAAAGGTATAGTAAATTTGGTATGAGTAGTTCTTTTTCTTTTGACTTTTTAATGTTGAAAGAGAATACTAGTGGATACCCTCTTATGAAAGAAAACTAAGTGAAAATTGGTTAAAGCAAGAATTGTGAAAAAATGTAAATATATGCATATCTTCAATGTTTTGGTCTCTTAACTAGTTTTTACTATGTGGTAACTACCAATTTATTTCCTAATATTTTGATTACAGTCTTTTAAGTTTGTATGTGCCAGTTGGAGGTCTTCAGCAACATTTTAGGGACTAAATTTCATCAATAATGGGTTATGCAAAATTCAAGCACCTGTGACTCAATCTATGAGTGGAAAATACTACATTTTAACAAAACTTTCCTTTAATCTTTTACTGTTATTTTTTCAACACTTCATTTCATGACAGTCTTATAAAATAACTCACCTTTATCAAATTTGTCTGAAACATCTACTGTTCATTAGAATAGTGCTTTCTTTTCTACTGTTGGTCAGTTTATATACTGTTTATTTACTTGGTTCTTTTGTTATTATTTGTTTTTTGGTATGGGTCTTGGGTTTGAACTCAGAGCTTGGGTGCTATCCCTGAACCTTTGTGTTCCAAGCTAGTGCTCTGCGTTTTTTGGTAGTTAATTGGAATTAAGAGTCTCAAGGATTTTCCTACCTATACTGGTTTGAATCAGGATCCCCAGATCTTAGCCTCCTGAGTACCTAGGGTTACAGGCATAAGCTACCAGTGCCCAACTCTATTTACATTTGTAAACATGTCAATGGATGATAGATGTCTAAAATTGACACTGGGTCTTTTAGAATTTACCAGTGATCTGGAAGGTAGCCAGTTAGCCAGGGGGATTCAGTGCATCCTAGTCTTTATCAGGAAGTTTTACAGGAGAATGGAACCTTTAAGGTAAAAGTGCTTTTTCCGTTTTATGAATATTGGTGAAAAATGTTCCCTAATAAGATCTCCTTTCTTATTCTCCATTGGTCTTAGAGAATATTATAGTGTGAATAAAGGATAAGAATAGTATTGTTTTCTATACACATGATAAATTTGATTTCCTCTAAAAGGTAGGTTTCCTGCTTTGATTGTCTTTGGACCTAATTAAAACAAATTAGGGCGAAGAGATAGAGGATTGGATTAAATTTGATATATAGAAGAATTAGAAATTCTTGAAGAGTGTGTTCAAATTTGTATTTTAAGGTTATTGTAGACTTTATTATTTGGCTGTTCTTTGCTATTAAGCTTATTATTCCTTTATGTTTTGTCTTGTCTTGTGTTATTTGTGAGATAGGATCTTGTGATCCAGCTCAGACTGACCCCAACTCACTATGTACTTAGCTCTGTCCAGGTCCTGTTATTCTTCCCATCTGACTAATATTTAAGTGTTTTATGTTTATTTTAACTACATATATTTTAACCTCAGAATTTTCCAGAATTATCTGACTACAACAGTGTTTAGTTATTCTAGTAGGAAAAAACCTGCTGTCTTCTTTCCACAGAAAGCCTACCTTTTCTGAATTTAGTTGTACTTATATAAAAGCAAGGTTGTTAACATAAAGATAGAATGTATAAAGATAGAATAGGAATTGAAAATTTTCTTTGTGGAGTCAAAGTAGATTACATTTTATATGTAGTCCATTGCCCATCTCATCACTTGCTGGTTTTGAATGTTTGTATATAAATCTAATCTGTAAATTAATTGGTGATGGAAACCTAACAATATTTGAGGGACATTGAGTTTGTGCACTACCTTATTTTATTATTATTTTCTTTTCAGCAAAGTGGTGAGCTATTGGATGTTTTCTATATTAGGTACATGAAGATAGGAGGAGTAAGAGAAATTGAGTGACATTCCAAAAATAGCCTAGATATATAGCTGAAATGCTTGCAACTCTTCAGGTGTAGTGTTTGGATTAAGTTTCAGGAGTGGATGTTTCACAGACATGGTATTTTATAGAGGAACATTATAAAAATAGCAAAAAAACCCCATTTTTAAAATCAAGAAAAAAAATAATGTGTGCAGTGACATAACCCCAAATGATGTAAAAATATTCACTGGAAGATTCTAATGGTATAACTTCCTTAAACAATTATCTCACAGTTTATCAAAATGTATATCAGGAAGCTGGCATTTCTGGTGTGTTTGATGTGTGGTCTGTGTATATGTGAAAGGTATAGGGATAGAAGAAGGGTAGGTGAATTTAGTCATAATATTCAATATGTGAAAATGGAACTAGGAAAATTGAGGGAATGATGGGATGGAGAGAGATGGAGGAGAATGACAGAAGGGCTGACATTTATCAGGATGCATTTTACTCATAAACTGGGATGTTGAATTGAAACCCTCTTGTACAGCTACTTCTTCAAGTATGGGGAAAATTGCATACAAATGTGCAATTATCAATAAAAAGTAAATGTAGTATTTATTTCAGGAGTGACCAAGATTGATGATTTAGTTTCCTCTCTTAGCTGGTTTTAGTATGTGGGAAGAATGGCTAGGAAAGCACAGTCATGTATGGCATTTTAATCTTGCATTTTTGATATACCTTTTCCTTCCCTCTTTTCTTTCCTTGCCATTCTTAACTTTCCTCTCTTTTCAGTGCTTTTATTCTCTATTTGATTATACCCTTCCATTCTCCTACTCACTCTCTTTGCCTTATAAGAATTCTTATGTTTTCTAATTTAAGTGTGAACTTAGTTAAATGAGAAAGCAATAGTGAGTATATTAGTGGATCAGAATTCTATGAAGTTTGCATTTCAAAGCAGTTCCACAAGGGATCTCAGCAGTGTGATATTTGAAAACCATTCTGTATCTGAAAGACAGGCCACCAGACTCCAGGGTTCTTCTTTGTGGTATGAAATTTCATACCAGCCTCTGTCTTTGTCCTCTTACTTTCAGTTCATCTGTTGCCAATATGTGTGACCCAGGGTGGTGGCGAGCGCGCGCGGCGCACACACACACACACACACACACACTATTGCCCACTCATGGTATCATGTCATTTTCCAAACAGATATGTGGGCGCGCGCACACACACATACACATACACACTATTGCCCACTCATGGTATCATGTCATTTTCCAAACAGATAGGTGGATAATCCATCAACTGTGTAGGTGGCCCTGACAAAGTAACGATCACAGAACACACTGTTGAAGGTCAGCAGTTTCAGTGGAACAAAATGAAATAAGATGCAAGAAAGTTAGAGAATAAGGAGAAGTTTTAATAATTAGGATTAAATTAAGTGAGTAAAGTAGGAGGAGGCCAGTCTGTATATAAGCAGAAGAAATCTATAATTGTATCATTCTAGATGTGAACATATGACTTTTAAAATAGACCTTCTACATTTGAGTTTGTTCCTTTTTGAATTTTTTTACTTCAGAAATCCAGAAGCTAAAATAACTTCTGGATACCAGATACGAAATAGCTATTATTTCAGAACTCTTTAGGTGGTTGATTGCTTTTAGATTCAATTTATGAACACAGAAAATTACTCTTACAATGTTCACTTTGCACAGGCAAAAGTAATTACCTAATATCCCTACACCTGAGAATGAAAGTTTGCAGGTTCCTTCTGATGATTAGGTTTACTCTAACAGAAGGTAGATTTGCAAATGTGAAAGCTGTTCAGAAGGTTCTGATGACTGAGTGAGAGGCACCGAGCCAAGTCTAGGAGTGTTGATTCTCTCATAGTCTTGGCTCTCAGAAGGTCACAGTCTCACAGGAAAGTGAAGACAGGTCTAAAATCTAGTGGTCTAGATAAGTAAAGGAGGTATATATAGATGTTAGGGGGGTTAAGAGAACTCCTGGTTCTGTGGTTTGCAGTTGCTTTTTTTTTTTTCCCTAAAGAGTTTTATTTTGTCACATACCATCTTACATTTAGGTTTTTGTTTTCCATCTCCTTTTTTTCCCCCCAAGTACAATCATGAACTCTATAAAATAAACATTGCCTAGGAAAAGCCCTTGGGCAATTCCTTTTATTTATTATGTAATAACATTTAATAAATGTTTGAGTACCTCCTAGAAAAATCACCATCTGATTTTTCTAGTTGGTGATTAAGGCAAGGTCCTTATACTAAAAGATCTTAATCTAGTAGAGATTTGAATTACTTGCTTTTAGCATATTGAACATCATGCATGAAACCCTTTTCTGAAGTAGTTTAAATGTTTACTCCAAAAGTTTATTTGCACTTCTTCATGGGTAATATAAATGTAAATTTCAACTAAATTCCAAACTAAAACATTTTAACTTTCTTTTTTCCAGTCTTGGGTCTTGAACTCAGGGCCTGGGCACTGTCCCTGAGCTTCTTTTGTTCAAGGCTAGCACTCTGCCACTTGAGCCACAGCACCACTTCCGGCTTTTTCTATTTATGTAGGGCTTCATGCGTGTTAGGCAAGCATTCTACCACTGAGCCACATTCCCAGCCCCACATTTTAACTTTTTAAGTTTTGATTTTTGAAGGAGTGGGCAGTGTCCCACCTAAGTGAGACTAATATAAGGCCTGTGTGACAGAACAAACATATATGCTTCTTGAATGCTTCTGACTGGCTGCTTGAGTCTATCTGCCTGTATTGATAATATGGTAATGACCCTTGGTAGGCACAAGGTTCCTTACCCCTGCAAAAAGGTAATAGTAGTAAGTAGTAGTGCCTGTATCCTAGCATCTTGAAAATAGCACAAAAACAATTCTAGATGAGGCAGCTGAGCTATGGTTGATTTAAGAATATACAATTTTAGACTTATCATTGGTACTTTTTATGTTTTCTCTTAATGTTTTCTCTGTTCCTGGTATATCAATGCCTAGCTTCTACTCAATGCTCAGTAAATGTGTTTTTAAATGAATGTGTCTTCATCATCTGCTTTTGATTCTTGCCACTTCCAGTCTTTAAAAACATGCCTATATTATATTTATGTATTTGTTTTCTTACATTCCCCTGCCACCCCTGATTGGGGATTGAACCCAGGACCTTGTGTGTGCTAAGCAAGCATTCCCCCATTTAAGCTAAGATTACCCTCCTACCCCCATCCCTCTTCCACTTCTTTCACTTGTCTTTGAAAACTGCTTTCTTCAGATCAGAATCAAGCATTGCGGCTCTGCTTGGGTAGCACTAGTGTTGGAGCTCAGTATGGTGCCATCTCTGCCCTTAGCATCAACAATGACTGCTCCAGACTTCTTTGTGGGTTTGCTAAAGGCCAGGTAAGATGTAAAATTTCTTTCTTACCCAAGATAATGTTATAATTAATTTTTAAAAACCAATGTCTTTAGATCACCATTTTGAAGACAAATATATATTTTCAGGTAGTATGTCTATTAAAGCTAAGTTGAGTTTGCTCAGTATGACTTTCGTTAAAAGTTTTAAATTATTGACTGAGCTAGAGTCTATAATTTTTGTTGTTGGTGGTGGTGGTGGTAGTGGTCGTGGGCCTGAACTCTGGGCCTGGGCACTGTCCCTCAGCTCTTCAGCTCTAGGCTAGTGCTCTACCACATGAGCCACAGCGCCACCTCCAGCTTTTTCTCCTTATGTGGTGCTGAGGAATTGAACCCAGGGTCCCATGCATGCAAGGCAAGCACTCTACCACTAAGCCACCTTCCCAGCCCCAAGTCTATAATTTTTATATTGGAATTCATGAGTCTATTTTAATAAATAGCTTTCTAAAACCAAATGGAATTATATAAAACCTATCTCCTTATGGTAGTAGTACATATTTTGTGGCTGCTTTTTAGGTACATTATATTTTGCTTTCTCTCATCGCTGATAACTGTTTAGGCATATCTTTCTTTCCACTTCTGAGACTGACCATAGGATGTGGTTTTTCCCATCTTTTGATTTATGCATCACTAGTTGGTTTGGCACTAAGCCTTTCTTGTAATTTTTACCAGTGCTAAACAGATTGACTTATCAGAGAAATCACTTCCATTTCTCAGTATATGATCAACATTTGAAATCTAAGGGGCCAAGTGGATTGGGCAGGATGAGGGGTAGATGAAGGCAGAATAAAGGCTCTGTGCTTTAATGGAGCTGCAGCCTCTAGGTATGTTTAGCTTTATGGTTCTTTGCTTGCAATGTTTATAGGCAAGGAAAAGATTATTTCAGCCAGAATAGCAGCATACTTAAGTCAAAAAAAATAGCAGTAAATTTGTTTTTAAAGCACCTAGTTGTCTTATAGATCACCATGTGGGATTTGGCCAGTGGAAAACTTCTCAGATCAATAACAGATGCTCATCCTCCAGGAACAGCAATATTGCATATCAAGGTAATAACTTTGTTTTCTTCTGCTAATCCTCTTTATTAGTATGCCTTTGTGTCTTCTTTAAGGTAAATTTATCTATATTGATAATCAGAAGCCTTCCAAATGTATTTATCACAAAGCTAAACATTATGTGATGAGTTCAACAAAAAGTTTTCCCAAGTTAAAAGCAGAGATGGGCTAGTATTCAACTTCTGATTGAATTGAAGTCTAGTAGATATAGCAGCAAAAAGGGCAAATTATGTGATCCCAGAGTAGTGGCTGGCAACAAAAGCAGGCAGCACCCTGCTGAACACTTATATGGAGATTTTAAAAGCTCTTTTTACCTTGTTTAGTCAGCCAAGATTTTATTGCAAAGGTGGCAGTGTGCTCTGTCTGTTGTTGGAAGTGGCCTGAGGTTCAAGGCACCAATCATGAAAGAACCACAGTTTGGATTATGTTGAGAAATGAATCTATTGGTTTATTTTCTTTCAGGCCTCTACGAGAAATGCATTAAGATCTGTCTTGGTTTTTTCCTTCCAGACTTGAAAACCATAAACTGACTTAAGTAAGAGATTTCTTTTTATAAGTACATGTGAACCTTGGTTCTTGCCTGCTGGCAAGCCCATGTTCAGAGGCATAAAAGGTAAAGGACCTTAACTAGGAAATCTAAAATCAGATCTTCTAGATTCTAATCTCATACATATTTTGTTGCTTAGCTATGTGGAGTTCTCATCCACACACATGCTTTTTAAAATCTGCAGCATCTGGAGTTTATATATCTGCATCTAGGTTAGTTACAAAAAAGTCTCTTGTGACAAAGCAGCATTGAAGCATTTGGTAACAATGAAAACAACAGAGACAAGTAAAAGTAGAGAGAATTTCTCCTCTTTCAATGCATGTTGCTAATGTATTGACCTTTTTTCCTATGGTATGTGCCAACTTGTAATATGTTATAATTGTTTATATGTAGCTTATTTCTCTTAATTGATTAAGATCTTTGAAATCAGAATCTGTCATTTGTTTTGCTATATGTTTTACATATAGCAACTGCTCAATAAATGTCTGATTGAGGAATAAATGGAGTTATCTTTACTAGCTATACTCAGAGCTCAAAAAAATTAAACTTCCCCCAAACAAATCCTTAAAGAAACAGCAATCCAATTAATAAATGGACTAAAGACTTCTCCAAAGAAGAAATAAGAATAGCCAATAGACACATGAAAATTTGTTTGGGATCTTTAGCCATACAAGAAATTCAAATCAAAATAACTTTGAGATTCCACTTCACCCCAATTACAATAACAATTATCAAGAAAACTAAATAACAGATGCTGATAGGGATGTGGCCAAAAGGGAATGCTACTACACTCTTGGTGGGAATGTAAATTTGTTTAGCTACTCTGGAAAACAGTGTGGAGGTTCCTCAAAAGACTCAAAGAGCTTCCCTATGACCCAGCAATTTTACTCTTGGGTATCTATCTAGGTGGCCACAAACTAGGCCACACTAAAGCCACCAGCATGACCATGTTCATTTTATCATTGTTTATCATAGCTAAGATATGGAATCAACCCAGATTCTCCTCAGTGGATGAACAAATCAAGAAAATGTAGTACATATGCCCAATGGAATTCTATACTTCTTTCAGAAAGAATGACATCATCCCATTCACAAGGAAATGAAAAGATTTAGAAAAAATTATACTAAGTGAAGAAAGCGAAATCCAAAGAAATGTAGGCTTCATGGTTTCCCTCATTAGTCATAATTAGAATGTGCCTTTAAATCTACAGGTAAAAGACAAATAATTACACTTGGACATGATTAAACAGCACTCTACACATTTCATATAGTGAGAAAAAGGAGGATATTCTTAGGAGAGGATCACAAGTGCTCAATAGCCATGTGCATATAATCATATAAAATGATGCTTATTGAAGGGACTCCAAAAATTGGAAGTAAGAGGTTTTTTTTATTGTACTCTTTTCAGTTCTTTTTTTTTCTTTACTTTTTTCCTTTCATTTATTCCTTCTGTCTCTTTTGATTTCTGTACCCTTTGTTTTATATATAAGTTCATCTGATTTAGGGAGGGGAAGGAGAAGCGCAGAAATGGGGGGACAAAGAGTGAACCAATTCAACAGTAAAACCCACTAGACACTATGTTGGGAATGAACTGTGCAATTTGAGGGAGAATGAAGTTGGGAGGCAAAAAACTGGGAGAGAATAAGGAAGGGGGTGACACTGTTCAAAAGGAAATGTACTCATTACCTGACTTATATAACTGTAATCCCTCTGTACATCACCTTTATCATAAAATTTTAAAAAGTTAAAGTAAATGACTGGCCAGTCCTTTTGCAGAAAAAAGTGAAATTATTTGGACAAACAGATACAAAAGAAATAGAAACGAGGAGGATATAGCTAGGACTAAAAAGCACGGTACTTCCAAGTGCCAGTGCCTCACGCCTGTAATCCTAGCTACTAAGGAGGCTGAGATCTGAGGATCAAGATTTGAAGCCAGGGCTGGGAAGGTGGCTCAGTGGTAGAGCGTTTGCTTTGCATGCCTGAGGCCCTGGGTTCGATTCCTAGCACCACATAAGCAAAAAAGAAGCCGGAAGTGGTGCTGTGGCTCAAGTGGTAGAGCGCTAGCCTTGAGCTGAAGAGCTGAGGGACAGCGCCCAGGCCCAGAGTTCAGGCCCCACGACCCGACCCCCCCCCAAAAAAAAAAAAAAAAAAAGATTTGAAGCCAGCCTGGGCAGGAAAGTCTGAGACTCTTACCTCTAGTTAATTAGCTGGGGGGTGGAGGTATGGCTCAAATGGTAGATCATTAGCCTTGAGCAAAAAAAAAACTCTGGGTTCAAGCCCCAGGACCAGCACAAATTAAAAAACAGTTTCAGGAGCTGTTATGTGCAGATGCTGACATTAGAGAAATATACATATGTGGTTGAATACTTCTGAAGTTTGATTGACAACAGATACATGCACTTGAGTACCTGTTCTCATTGTTCTCTAAACTTAATCCTTCATCCTATTAATAGCAATTTGGGTTTTCATCCTTTTTGTGCTTTTTTTGTGTGTAACTATATAAATAGACTGCTATACTAATTTAAAGCATTTTATATAATACATACACAAGAAGTAGAAAAGGAAATAGAAACATGAGTTCTCTTCTTCATTCTGAACTCCAGTGAACCATTTCATGAATGCTTATAGGATACATGCTTCCCACATTGGCTTTGAGACAAAAATAGGGCACTTATGTGTAGTGGAGGAAGGAGACTCTTGCTTCCTGCTTTATACCATCCCTCAGTAAAAAGGCATGCCAGTTAAGATGGTTCACCAACCTTTGTCTTTTTAAGAGCCTGGGCACTATAAATGATAGAAATCACTTTGTGTTCTGTAATATTTCCCATACCTTAGGACTATCATTGTGAGCACGATTATTGAGCTTTCCAGATAGAAGTATACTATGTGGAAGGTCAGTCACAAAGGTAGCACATTTTAGGGAGATATATAAAAAGTTGAGATGTTTTAGACATAGGATTAATCTTTAGATAGTCACAAAAGTTATTTAGACAAGTCCATTTCCCAGAGATATCATGCATCTTTTACTCTGTCTTTATTTTTAGAAACTAGGTAACTGCAAATGTATCCAAATAATACAAATGTAAATCTATCCAAGTTATTTTAAGTTAAAAAAACTTAATGTGAAAAGCCAAGTAGAGAACTTCAGGGCTTTTATTAACCATTTTAATATTTTCCTCTTATCCTGAGGAAAAGTACTTTTACCTTTTGAAAGTCTTACCTTTTTAAAAATGCTGAGCCACTTTTGTCTTAAATAAGGATGATTTTGTATGCTTCAAGTGATGAGCTATGTCTCATTTCAGGTTATTTAAAATGCTGAATTGTGCATTGTGTAGATTTTCACCATTTTATAGTTTTCCCCTTGATATACTGAACATTTGACTGGTCGTTTAAAACTCTACAAGAAAATTAATTCCTTTTTCTGTTTAGTTCACAGATGATCCAACTCTTGCGATTTGCAACGACAGCGGAGGTTCTGTTTTTGAATTGACATTTAAGTAAGAGACTAATGGACATTTATTGACAAATGAGAAATCTAGCTCTGGTTTAATGATTTGAAATTGAATGTGAAGAGGTCTGGAAAGCCTATGTGATTGAAAATAGATTATGGCTGTGTATTACAATTACCTGGGGAGGCATATGGAACACGTGGAATTCCAGGCCTGGTTCCCCATGATTTTGTCTGAGTAGGTTTGAAGCAGGATTCTAGACTCCTACTCTCCAGGGGATTCTTACATGCTGTCATGCTGGGGAGCCACTATTCTGGAATAGCTCACTAATTTTAATTTAGACCCCAGGCCTTCTTGATTATTATTATAATGACAGGTGTAAAGGGCTTTTTTTTATTGCTTTTTGAATTGCCCTCTTTACTCTTTAAATAAGAGCAAAGACTCATCTAAATATATGGAAGAATACTTACCAGACTGAAGTTTAAGGAAAATGTTGAATGCAATATACAGTTTATAATTATGTTTCCTTTAGTTCTTCAAGGTTAATGCCTATCTTATTTTATTTTTCATAAAGCTCCAGAAATACTGAGTACAAAGTAATACTACTTATTTATTTAGCTTATGTTTATTGAGAATCTCCTATGTGTAGGTATTTATCCAGACACCAGAGGTATGGCTGTGAACTGGACAATGTCCCTATTCTTAGCCCTTATTACATTCTAGTTGGGAAGAGACTAAGGACATAAAAAATAAGCTGTCACATAAATAAAGTACTACAGGTAGGTCTGGATGCTGTGAAGAAACTGACAGGTCAGTGTGTTAGAATGCATTTGATGATAGCATATGAAAGACTTTTGTAGGTAACATTTGAAAAAAAAGAGCTAGTAAACAGATGGAAACATCTGGAGGAAGCACAAAGGCTCTGAAATGGGCACACAGTTGACTCTGCTAGAGCAATACAAAGAAGCCTGGTATGGCTGGAGCTTGACTTTGTTAGAAAGGACAGTAGTGGAAGAGAAGTCGAGGCAGGAATCAGATCCTGTAGGACTTTTAAGATGTACGTAAAGAATTTGGAGTTTATGTACAGAGGCAGACCAGTGGAGTGTGTTTAGCAGAAAAAAATGATAGATCTGACCCATAAAATAAAAAGATCATACTGCAGTCATGTGGAGCTTGGACTATTGAAGGCAAGAATAGGAGTTGGATGCTATTACAGGCTGGGCTAGTAGTGCCTTGGATCATAACTAAGTTGATTCTGAATTGTTTGATTACATTTTAGGAGAGTGATGGGAGTGAGGACCTGTGAATCTAGATGTCTCTTCAGTGGCTCTAAGGGTGAAGTGTGCTGCATTGAACCTCTACATTCCAAGCCTGAATTGAAAGATCATCCCATCACACAGTTTTCATTATTGGCCATGGCATCCTTAACAAAGGTAGGTGTGTTTAGAAGATGAAATTCTTTCTTTTCTGTGTTAGTGGTCATTTTAAAATTTGCATCCATTAGTTGTATAGAAGGGTTCAATTTTGAGATATCCATATTTGCTTACAATGTGCCCGATTCAGATTTTCCTTTCTTCATACCCCTACCCTCCTTTCAACAAGTTTCTTTGAGCCATTTTCATACATCTCTATAAAGTACTTCTACCATATTTTACCCTCTTTCACCCTGTTCATTCACTCTTTTCTCCTCTTACTGCCCCCCTGACCTGTTTTACATTCCTGTTATTTATTTTGTTAGATCTATATTAATTGTTCAAAGAAATATTGCTATAGTATTTCACACATATATTTATTAGGTTAACCAGATTAACTTTCTCACTCTTTCCCCTTTACCCCTATGTCCTATTATCAGTTTTCAGTGATGTTTGTTATGCCTAGAAGATGAAACTCTTAACTTTTAGAGGCTTTGAACACGAACCATTTGAAAATATCAAGTTAGATACTGAAAATATTTTTTTCCTTAAAGATACTGGTCATTGGATTGAAACCATCCTTGAAAGTGTGGATGACTTTTCCCTATGGACGGGTGAGTTATGTCTTGCTATCTTGTCAGCAAGAGAAAGGACCATGTCAGGGTCAATTCTCAGGGTGAATTCTTGAATTCTGTGAGATTGGCAGAAATCTACATAGAATGGAAGTCAGCGCTCTGAAATCATTGTCTAGACTTAGGGTGATAATCATATACTTTTATGTCTATTGTTTAAAATTTTTCTCTTATAAACAGCATATAGCTAGATTTTGTTTTTAACCTCAGTTTAACACTCCCTATGTATTGCTGTCTTAGCACTTTGTGGTCACACCTAATTTCATGCATGGATTTTCCTAGCCCCTTTTACTGCCCTTTTAAGGACAGTAAAATTTCTTTATTGGACTTAAAGCTGGAGGATAAGTTGATGTATTGAGTCCTATCCTCGATTTCAGTGTTTAAAGGACATTGTTATGTGATAGCAGGGCTGAGCCAGGATTATGCCTGCTATCTGCTGCTTTGACACCGAAATACTGATAGAACACTGCAGAATATATAATGTCCAACATAAATTGTGCTACATATGCTGTCCATGTCTTGTACCTCTGATACATTACTTTAGAAGATGTTTTTCAGAAAGAACAGGTGCTCTTAAATGTCTGTAGGTTTTGTATCCATGAATTCAATCAGCCACCCATCCAGAATATTCAGAAAAAATTATATCTGTAACAAACAGGTGAAGACATTTTCTTGTCATTATTCTCTAAAAAAAACAATGTAACTTCTATTTACATGGCATTTGTATTTGATATTATAAGAAATGTACAGGTGATGGAAACATATGGGAGGATTCACATAGGTTATGTGCAAACGCTTTCCCATTATATCTAAGGGACTTGAGTATTATGAATTTTGGTATATTAGGGTGGAAGGGCTTGCGATGGAACTAAGCACTCCAGACACTGAGAGACAAGTATATTATTCAAACCCCACTTTCCCTTTTGTTTCCTGCTTGGTGTTTTTAGAGAGCTGTGCTCTTCTAATGTATGCATGAGGAGGGGTATTGGTGGGATGGAAAATGATGGCACAGAACCCTGGATAGTTCAGAAAGCAGCTGCCCCTATATCTGAGGAAGCATACTATAGTTTTCTTCTTTGTACCCTATATATCACTGGGCACCAGGAGAAGCAGGTCTGTTCTTTTATATGGCAAAGCTGGCTGACATTGCCACTATCTTAAGTTAGTTTCTTATCTGAGCTTTTTATTATGATGTCTGCTTACATCTTGTTATGTTTTGTTTGTCTTTCCCTTAATATTTATTATTTATATTGAATTTTTCATTAAATACTTATATACCTGTCATCTAAATTCTATCATTACCATACCTTTTTATTATTATTTATTCTTTATGAAGTATCTATGAATCTATCCATCTATCCACCTATCAAAGTAATTTTTTTTATGGAAACCAATACCTTAAGTATTCAAAATACATTTAATTAGCTAGAGTTTAATAGTGCTTAGATTTTTCCTTAGTTTATATGAAATGAGTGCACATATCTTGAGTGTATATTTGCCAGACTTTTACAAATACATAATATATATTTGTAAGCCAGATCCTTATCAAGATGTAGACCATTGTCATTAACCCAGAAAGTTTCCTTGTAAAACTTCACAGTTAGTTCTTACTTCACAATATTTTCATGAGTAGTTGGAAACAGTTTTGTCAAGGGATACTAGTTAGCTGTTTAAAATAGGATTTCTACTTTGTCCTGTCTATAAACCATGATGAATTTCTCCTACCTTTATTGTGTAGATGGATCCCTCCAGTGTTCCATTGCTGGCCTGGCACTTTGTGGCAGTGCATAATTATGTGAACCCCATGCTTGCATTCTGCAGAGGTGATGTTGTTCATTTTCTGTTGGTAAGTTCTAATACGATGGCATCCTGTTTGTTATAAAGTGTTGTAGTACAGATTTTCCTCCTGATTCATCAATAATTTAATATTGTGGCAGAGAAGTCTGTCTTATTATCTTAAATCTTTGGAGAGAGATTGACCTATTTAGTTTTTATTTAAGGTTTTAATGGTTAACATGGTGGTGTGGGGGGAAGGGGAGCTTAATCCTTGATCTTCCTTAGTATATAACTCGTCATGTTTTATTTCTCAGTTCTATTTCCTTTGGCTGACAATAACTAATAGTTTATTTCTATGTATGAACAATAATGTGGACATGTCTATATTAATGTTTTTTATCTATCTCTATGTGTTATGTATCATTGAGTACCTACTCTTCTCTGCACTTTGATGGGTACAAGAAGCAAATGAAATATAAAACATTTTTTATTTCACACAGCATATTATATTTCTATGGTATGCTTATTGCCACTAAAAATAACAGTTTAAGCACTGAACTATAATGATGAGGATTAAAAGTTGGTCCAGTGGCAAAATAATGGCATTTGCAGGGAAATGGATGGAGCTAGAAGGAATCATGTTGAGCGAGGTAAGCCAAGAGCAAAGAGACAAAAATGTACATGGTCTCCCTGATAAGTGGATGCTAAATCCAAAATGTTAGCTGATACGACAAAATTAACAGGATTTAAGAAGCAAAGAATTCTCACTCATCTGGTCGAACCACTACTAAATATCCCCATGCTGCTGATCACATGTATGGTGTATAGTGTACACCGTTATATGTTATAGACTGTGATAGACAATTTGCTCCAGGAAAGTTAGAATGAACTTTAAATGAGCATCATTATTCCACAATACTGTGAAATTTGGGAAATTATGTAATCACTTAACCACAATTAAAAAAAGAAAAGAACCTCAGGGAAGGTAGGGAGGGAAGGGATGGTAGGGGGAAAACAATGGAGGGGGTAACAATTACCTTGCTCATGTAACTGTATCCTTCTGTATAGTATCTTTACAATAAAAAATTAAAAAAAAAAGTTGGTCCAGTGGCTCCGACTGTAATCCTAAGCTTCTCAGGACTTTGAGATCTAAGTATTGCAATTTGAAGCTTAGCAGGAAAGACTGTGACACTCTTATCTCTCCAATTAACCACTAAAAAGCCGGAAGTGGTTTTGTGGTTCAAGTTGTAGAGTGCTAGCTTTCAGCAAAAAAAAGCTCATGGACAGGGCCCAAGCCCTGAGTTCAAGTCCCAGGACTGGAACGAACACACACACACACACCACACACACACCACACACACACACACACACACCACACACGCACACGCACACGCGTGCACGCGCCTTGGTCTAAATTAGAGTTCAAAGAGGATTAAGGTGATCTAGAGAAGTATGGAACATTTTATAAGCATTTGGGGGCAGGAGAGAAAATTAAGCATGTGCCTATGTCATCTTGTCTCAGTTTCTTGCTTAATAATAAGAAGGTGGCACCACTAAAACAGCTAGAATCCCAGGAGTTACCTTTCAGTTACTTTTCTTCCTTCACATGTGTTCTATCACTACATCCTGTTAATTCTACCTCCAAAATCTTTCTCCCTTTGTGACTCCCCACTTCCATGACTGCTTTTCCAGTATTAAATAAAATAAAATACCTACTTAAGTTTTCCCAGTTAGTCTCTGGCCTGGGAGCCTTCATTTATTCTCTTGCCTCTGCCAGGAAAGCTCTGTGTGGTCTTTATAGTCTTTGACTTTGCCCTGCTAATGCTTAACGTTGCATTCCCTGATCTGAAATCAAGTTAGTACTTCCTTCCACTTACTCATATAAGATCTTTTCCTTTGTAGTGTTGACCTGGGAATTGAACCTAGAACCTTGTGCTTGTTTGACAAGCTTTCTATCACTTGAACCAAGACTCCAGCCACATTTAAGACTTCTTAAATTTCTTGTCTAATATTTTTCTTTTTCACTAGACTAAAAGCTCTATAAGTCTAGAGATCAACTCTATTGCTAGCCACCAGGAAACTGTTTTCAGCCATGAGGACATGGACAGGACCTATATATAGTAGATGTTTATGCATGTTTGTAGAATTTTAACAGGGAGAAATCCATGGTAGACAATAAGATTGAATGTGTGGAATGGATTTAAATGAAGGGTTGGCAAACCATAACCATTGGACCAAATCTGACCAGCCACATCTGTTTTTGTGAATAAAATTTTAGGGGAACACTGTCATTTGCATATTATTTGTGATTATTTTCTCAGTACACTGGTAAAGTTGAATAGAGTGGCAGAGACTACATGATCCACAGAGTCTAAAATATTTATGGTATGACCCTTTGCAGCATAATTTGCTGACCCCATTAACATTGTTAACCTAAGAAATGGATTTCTAGGGCTAGGCATAGTGGTCCAAGTCTGTAATTCCAGCTATGCAGGAGTTGAAAATGGGGAGATTTCACTTTGAGGCCAGCTGAGGCAAAAGTTATTAGGCCCTTATCTCAGAATCATGTCAGTGTGGTAGGCATTCCTGGGGTCCCAGTTATAAGGATCCCACTTACAAGGTAGAAGGATCATGGTCAAAGGGTAGCTTGGGTAAACAGTGCAAGACTTTTTCTAAAAAAGGTCTCTATGAAGCAAACTCATGCATTCCTAATACCTGATTATAAGAAAGAGCATGGTTAAATAGTATGTATATATATTACTTATCTTTTGTAAGTCAAGGGATTTATTTTTACTTTTTTATCTGAAGATATAGAAGTAAGAAATGTATCTGAGAGCAAAAGGAAGAGGACCGGCCCCTTAACAGGAGTGATGAACTATGCCAGCAAGATGGAGGCAACATTCATCAGGGATGGGGGTTGGGGCAAGAGCTTAGTTTTAGATAGGTGAAGTGGTTTTCTTCAAGGACTTTAGAAAAATCTTAGAGGAATAAGTAATGCTGACATTGATCTTTCCAGTTTATGAAACACTTTCAACATATGCAGCTTATCAAAAAAATTGGTACCTTCTTATTTTCATTTGACAGATGTGGAAAGTAATAAGTAATCACCCCTGCTCACACAGCTAGAATGGTGGAACTTATGTATTTGAGCATATGGCTCTGGACCTATGTTCGTTTTGCCAGATCATCCTTTTTCTGGGGCAAGTGACTGAGTGAAGACAGCACCACATTAAGTGGTATTGGGTTATAGAATAAGGTCAAGTGTAAGTGATGACACTAGGATACTGAAAGCAATTGAGACATAGGAAGAAAAATAGCCAGATCACTAGACAGCTGAATGGGATGTCATGAATACAATGTAACCAGCTGTATCTTGTGCTTTATTTCTTCCTTAGGGTTTTATTGCCTTAGAGGAGAAGTGGAGATAGTAAAAGAGAGAGATGATTGAGGATTCTTGATTGTGTAGATATCCATATGTAAATAAAACATTGATAGAAAAGCTTCTTTTGGGACCTATTATAGTATCCCAAGTTCAGAAAAGTGTAATTTTGCTGCTGTCCTGCCTCCTCCTTCCTCTTCTTCAAGCTAGAGTCTCAATGTATTGCTCAGGATTGTCTGCTGGGACCCTCCCCTCATAGCCTTTGAGTAACATTTTGTCTTTTTTTTAGTGAATTTTGTTTGGATTTATCACATGTCACCAGTCCTCGTTTGTACTCTAGTTAACTAACTATTGATACGGTGGTGTTAGATTATTTTATGTTATGAAAGCATGAAAATTATAGCATTTGCTAATACTGACAACTAGACCACTAGCCATATATGCCTTGGGTTTGGTTACAGATCACAAAGTAAATGGTGTTTTCATTAATATATTAGTTTCTCTTTCAGTAATTTTGGCTTGTACAAAAGGGGTGGCCCTCATTCTCTAGATGATATATAAATCAAATATTTTTCAAAGTCTCTAAGACAGTAGCTAATACTTAGGCTGCTATTTTCATTTCATTGTCAGGTTAAGAGAGATGAATCTGGAGCAATACATGTTACTAAGCAAAAGCACCTTCACCTGTATTATGACCTTATCAACTTTACTGTGAGTATTTTTCAAATTAAGTGTTCCCATTTATTTTGTGCAGTTGTCCTAAACCCAGGATTTATTAAAATGCCACATTTTTTTTTTACCATGAACCATAACCTTTAGGACCATATAAAGAAATGAAAATTCTTTCACATTGAATTAAGTCTGAATTTGGCGTGATGCCTTGGAATTAGTTCCTTTCAGCCTGATTTTCTGCTTGGTGCTGGCAAGGTCAGGAAAAGTTGCTTCACTGTCTTGATGAGCAAAAAAGGAAGTTTGGGTTCAAAAGATTTTAGGTGTATCATTAGAATCATTGTTCTACTTTCTGTGTGAACACATTTATACTTCTAGGTCAGGACCTTGTGGTACCTGTTATAGCCAAAAGGCTTTGTATGGCCAAAGATATTGATGAGTTTTTTCTCTACATTACATCACAGTCCTGAGATACATTGTGATTAAAATTTTTTGCATCAAATTTTACTATTTTTCAAATAGTGTAGTAATTTTGAGAGTAATTTTCTCACAATATTTCTGGGTTGCTATCATTGCTGGTTTTTGCACATCAGCATCTGTTATCAGGCACCAGTGACTTATGCCTGTCACCTTAGCTACTCAGAAGGCTATTATCTAGAGGATCATGGTTTGAAGCCAGCTTGGGCAGCAAAGTCCATGAGACTTTTTTCCAAAATAAGCAGTGAAAAGCTTGAATGGAATTGGCCCAAGTGTTAGAATACCAGTTGAGCCAGCAAACTGACTGGTAGGCCCTGAGTGTACTGTCAAAAGGACTAAAAAAATGTTTTTCTTTCCTTCTTTGACTCAATAATATGTAATGATTAAGCATATAGATGCTATAGTTAGTAGTTTCTTTTTAATATGTGATTCATTAATTTAGTTGTACATTGCATTTTGAGATAGTCTTGTTGTATAACCTAGGCTGGTCTGGAACTCCTGGTCTCAGGCATTCCCCCTGCCTCAGGCTCCTAAGACTGTAGGTGTGCATCACCAAGCCTTGTTCATATTGCTTTGTGTGTGTGTGTCTGTCTGCGCGCATGCATGAGCACACGTGCACCAATTCTGGGGCTTGAACTCAGGGCCAAGGCACTGTCCATGAGCTTTTCTTTGCTCAAGGTTAGTGTTCTACCACTTGGTCCACAGCTCCAATTCCAGCCTTTTTTGGGTGGTTAATTGGAGATATAAGAGTTTCATGGACTTTGCTTCCTAGGGTGGCTTCGAACTATGATCCTCAATTCTCAGCCTATTGAGTAGTTAGGATTATAGGCATGAGCTACCAACACCTAGCTTCACATTGCATTTTTAAACTCTCCGATAGGCTATTGATTTAGAAATCAATGCTCAGTTGCATCCATAATCTGAAAATGGAAATGCTCCAAATCTAAAACTTTGTGAGTTTATGCCAAATATGATGCCACAGTGGGAAATTATACCCATGACATTATATGGTGAGTATAGTCAAAATGAAGGTGCACTGAAAATATTGTTTTGTATATATAAGACACATGAATGTTGTGTTTAGGTTTAGGTTCCATTTCCAAGATAGTTCATTATATTGTTTGCAAACATTTCAAAATTAAAATAATCCCAAATCCAGAACTCTCTGGTCCCAAGCATTCCAGCCAAGGGCTGATCTTTTCCCTTATAATGGCTATCATGTAGTACAGAGTATAAATGTAACATATGTTAAAAGAACATCTATTTTCAATTGTTTGACTTTGATACAACACTATGTAAATAACACTCTATGATAAAACACTCTGATAATATGGAGTAGATCATACAAATAAGTCATCATGAATATCACCAATTGTGTAGGGGAATAAATGACTTTAGCAACTTATAAATGTATAGGTTTCAATAGTTTTTTAAAAAATTATTAATTTAGAATTTTAAAAATTGTAATAATGTTTATTAATGAAAATTAGAGAATACAGTTCTGTAGAAAGACAAAGAACTCTTCCATTGTTTTTATGGAGGTTTGGAAGGAAATATAGTTTTCAAATGGCTTCTATTTTAAAATATGTTGCTTCATTGTTAACACTTGTCTTTTACTAGCTAGGTTTGTGATGTTTAGTTTGCTCTTTTATCTTGTAAATATTAAAAGCAACAACTACAACAGCTACTCAGAAGGCTGAGATCCGAGGATCACAGTTCAAAGCCAGCTCGGGCAAGAAACTCTGAGAGACTCTTATCTCCAATAAACCACTAGAAAACCGGAAGTGGAGCTGTGGCTCAAGCAGTAAAGCGTTCTCCTTGAGCTGAAGAGCACAGGGAAAGTGCCCAGGCCCAGAGTTCAAGCCCCACAACCGACCAAAAAAAAAAAAATTAAAAGTAGGATTGTGAAGTTTTCCAATGTGCCTTTAAAAAGATCTTGTTAAAAATTTCTGTGTCCTATAATCTATCACAGTTCTTAGTATCTCTTACACTATCAAAATGTCATTTTAACACTCAAAATTCTGCCCTGAGCTGTCACTGAGTAATTGTTACTGAGATTGTGTTGCTATGTAAAGTATTGAAATGGATCATGTCCTCAATGTAGTTAGTTGAATGGAGGGACCAAGCTTTCATCTTGTCCCGAATAATGCTGTGGGCCTCACTCCCCTTTTGTCCTGTGCTTGAATTGCAGTGGATAAACTCTCGCACAGTTGTGCTCCTAGACAGTGTGGAGAAGCTGCATGTGATCGATCGGCAGACACAGGAGGAACTAGAAACAGTGGAGATCTCAGAGGTTCAGTTGGTCTATAATAGCAGCCACTTTAAGTCACTTGCCACCGGAGGAAATGTTAGCCAGGCCCTGGTAAGGATTATCCTTTATCTCAGAATTGCTGTAATAAATTTGACATTTTGTTGTTGTTTGTTTCATAAATAGGAATGGGGGGGAGTTGTTTTTATGCCTTGATGAGTTTCTTTGCAAGCATTTAGGAAATGAGCCAAAACAATGATTCTTACTACCTTTTCTTCAAAAATGTGACTAATTTAACTTAATATAAAGAACTTGAAAGTTGCATAGTTGTAAAAATGAAATTGAAAGTTTGTTAGAAAGAACTTGTAAAATCTAAATATTTACATACTGGTAGTAATTATTCTGGTAGTTTTAAGGAATAAATAATTGAGGCAGGTAGCCTACAAGGCTTCTGAGAAATTTGGCTGATGAGGTAAAAGCTTGACCAGGTACAGTAGCTCTGGACATGGAATGATAAAGGTGGCTTTGAGGGAAATAAGGAGCAGGTGATAAATAAAATATAGGAACCTAGAAGGATATTAACAAAAGGTAGCATCTTAGTGTAAATTTTATTCTATTATAGGCTACTTCAATAAAGGTCTTAGGTAGTTATATAGGCTATTGATAATTAAACATTTTATTTGTGGCCTAATTATTTTTTAAACAAGACAAGCATTCTGTCACTGAACCATCTTCCCAGGCCCTTAAACAATTAATTTTTTGTTGTTGATGGTCATGGGGCTTGAACTCTAGGCTTTGGTGCTGTCTCTGTGCTCTTCAGCTCAAGGAGAGTGCTCTACCACTTGAGCCACAGCACCACTTCTGGTTTTTCTATAGGTTTATTGGAGATAAGAGTCTCACGGACTTTCCTCCCTGGGCTGGCTTTGAACCGAAATCCTCAGATCTCAGCTTCCTGAGTAGCTAAGATTACAGGCTTGAGCTACTGACACCCGGCTTAAATCATTAATCTTTAGAATGAAAAGTAGACATTCTGGAACATTCCTAGGTCATTTGAAAAAATGAATAATAGTTTTTCTATATAATGAATATATGGCTCATATGAGGTGAGGTACTGCTCAACTCTCTCATAATTATAACTTCAAAGCATAAAGTATGTATGAAAGTGGATTCTAGCCCCAGAATTTGAAAACTAAGAAAATCCACAATAAGAAGTGGTAATGCATCAAAATTCATTAAAGGAATAGTGATTACTCTTCCAGACTTTAGTATTTTCTATGATTTTGTGTTATTAGAAGTACTATTAGAGCCAGGTAGGTGGTTCACACCTTTGATTCTAGCAGTTCAGGAGGTAGAGACTAAGAAGATTGTGGTTTGTTCTTAAGACCCTCATCTCAACCAGTAAAATTTGAGTATGGTGGTACATACCTGTCATCCGGTTATGTATGGAGTATCAATAGAAGGATCATGGTTCAGGCTGGCCTGGGCATAAATGGGAGACCCTATTAGAGAAATATTGAAAGCACAAAGATCTGGAGACATGGCTCAAGTGTTAGAGAACCTGCCTAGCAAGCACAGGCCCTAAATTGAATATGATTGTAACTAAAAAAAAAGTATGAATAGATCTTGAACTACCCTTGTATTTTTAGGCAAGATGGAGTAATGGGGGATTAGATTTATTCTTTTGCTTAAACTAACAAAAAAATAGTAGTAATAGGGGAAAATGGTAGTTCTCAAGACCCTGGATATCAGTAATGATGGACAACAATCATATAAAGACTAAACAAGGGACTGATGTTTGTAGGCTGTGGCTCAAGGAGGAAGAAGCCAGCTGGAGTATGGAGGATTCTACAAGTTGAGGAGAGAGCTGAGATTGCAGTAAAGCATATGCAGGCTGAGTTTGTGGGACGGGGTGCTAGACCAGAGAGAGCACCATTAGAGTCCCCCTTGAGTCTTCAGCCAACTACTTGATCCCAGGACCAAGGAAAGAGCCATTGGAAAGATTTCGAAGAATGTGTATCTGTGTTAACACAGGCTTTCCACAAGCTCCATAATAAGTTAAATATTACTATAATTGTCATTTGCCACATATATTTTGGCATATTAATAAATGTTAACATATTTTGCCTAATAAATGTTAACATATTTTGCCTTATCCTTCAAAGACGGGGAAAATTGAATGTTACCAGATTGAAATTGGTCTCATACCTGTTGTCAGAGGCAGTGTTTGCAATCCAGATGATTAATGGGTTTCTTTTCTATTTTGTCTGGTCTGTGCTGACCCTCATATACTATATTACTTTGTCTTTTTGTTTCCTCTTGTGTTTTGACATTTATTTCAAAAAACATGGAAGTGTCTTTTTCAGTTAACTCTATACTTGTGAGAAGCAGTGGGTCCTTTCATCTAGTAAAATGCAAGTTGCTGTCTTTTTCCTTTAGATTTGTACATTGGTGTATTTGTTCCCATTCTACATTTTTCTGAAAAGTAAGGCTATTTATACAGGCAGAGAATTGCTTCTTTTCTTTTAACTTTAATGTATTCATTATAAATTGAATTAGGATTATAAGACTGGCATAATAAAAATTAGAAGTTGTATAAGTAGATAATAGAAGTTGCTAATTCTGGTCATTTGGTTGTTTCTCTCTTCTCTCTCCTCTCTCATCTCTCATCTCTCCTTTCTCCTCCCTCCTCTCTCTCCTCTCTCTCCTCTCACTCTCATGGTTGTCCTGGGGCTTAAACTCAGGGCCAGGGTGTTATCTCCAAGCTGTTTTGCTCGAGGTTAGCGTTCTACCACTTGAGTCACAGCTCTACTTCTGTGTGTGTGTGTGTGTGTAGGTGTGTGTGTGTAGGTGTAGTTAATTGGAGATAAGGGTCTCACTGACTTTCCAGGCCAGGGTGTTATCTCCAAGCTGTTTTGCTCGAGGTTAGCGCTCTACCACTTGAGTCACAGCTCTGTGTGTGTGTGTGTGTGTGTGTGTGTGTGTGTGTGTTTAATTGGAGATAAGGGTCTCACTGACCTGGGATGGCTTTGAACTACAGTCTTGAAATCTCAGCCCCCTGAGTAGCTAAGATTACAGGTGTGAGCCACCAGTTCACAGCTTGTTTGTTTAAATCTACAAATGGCTGTAGAAGAGGGTACAGTTTACTATGTCCATTTATATACACAGTGTATCTTAATCAGAGTCACTCCTATACTTTGTCTTTTCTGTCATTTCTACTGTCAGGTTAACAATTGATCAGCATTTTATCCCCACTCCCAAGATGAAGCCATATTAGCCTACAGTGTTCTGTTGTTCACTTTTCTTTTTTATTCTTTTGTTGGTGGTTGTGGGGTTTGAACTCAAGGCTTCACACTTGATTGGCTTGCTTGCTTGACTGGCAGTCTATTACCTGTGTTATGCCTCCAACCTAGATTTTTGCTGGTTATTTTGGAGACAGACTCATGAACTTTTTCCTCTCTAACTTGCCTCAAACTATCTTCCAGATCTCAGCCTATAGTTGACATTAGTTATGGGGACCTCTAATACATATAATTTTTATATAGTTTATCTGTCTATTTATTTTTACAGGCTTTGGTTGGAGAGAAGGCTTGTTACCAATCCATCAGTAGCTATGCTGGTCAGATCTTTTATTTGGGGACAAAAGTAAGCTTTTATATTGTGTGTTTGTGTACATCAGGATAGTTGGGGCTGAAGGAGGAAGCCGGTAAAGAGAGCATTGTATTTAAATTGAATACTGATCATTAGTGATCCAAAACTTGTGAGTTACTAGTTATTATTTAATAGCTTTCCTCCACTGCTAATTTTTACTTTTAATTAAGTGCTAATAATGTACTTTTTAAAATTTAGAGATATACATGCATAACGTTCTTTTGTATTTGTTTTAATGATCAGAAATGTAGTTAATTATGTGCATATACAGCTGATCTTTTATCACATCAGCTTAGGCTATATTAAGGCATTTGACTTAGAATATAATGATTGAGCTACAAATTTTTCCTTTGTTTGTTCCTTTGTTTTTTATTTTTCATTTTAAAATGGAGAAACAATTTCTTCCTTAAAATTCTACCAAATTCTACCAAAATATTGCCAGTATCTTGCAATAAGGGATGGACTTGGGTTTTCCCTGTTTGTGTTCCATGGAGTTATGTCTTATTTTGATTGTAGATTTACTGACCTTTGAATAGTCGTATGATTTACTCATCAGTGTAGGTGCTTGAAGACTTTTAAATTCCAAGGTGTACTTCCAACTATGACTAAAATAATTTTTACTTAGAGGTCTAAAGTGAGATGTAGAATTGGGGCAAATGTATTTCCTGAGCAAGTCTATTAAAGATCATTTTCATTTCTTTTTCTTTGTTTTCCAGTCTGTTTATGTGATGATGCTGAGGAGTTGGAGAGAGGTGAGTTCAAAATAATCCTGCATGTTATAATTACTGAATTTATAGACTTTACATAGTTTTGCTTTCATGTTGCTGAAGATTATTTGGATTTGTGCTTCAGATATCAGCAAATTCAAAATAATAGTGGCTCAAGATTCCTGTGTCATGAAACACTCTGGAGGTAGGCAGTTCATAGCTAGTATGGGAGCTGTATCCATAGTCTTAAAGATGTCATCTTGCATTCAAATTCTAGTCTCAAGGTCATTTTGTAATAAGTATGATTGTTTAAACTCCAACTGTTAACTCTGCATTTCAGGTAGGAGAAAACAGACAATAAAGGCCAGCTCTTACCTTTTTAAGGTATCATCGAATACCAGATGATACTTCCACTTACTTATCATTGACCAGAGTTTAGTTACACTGCTCCAAGTTCAGGTCCAGAACTCTTAGTGATTTCTTTTAACTGGTAGTGTGTTGCTGGATCCAGCAACTAAATGGATATTGTGCTGAACAACCAGCTGCTTCTGCTACAATGATCTTTGTTGTTTTTCCTTTTCATATTTTGGCTCTGTTAGTCCATATTGGCCTTTATGGTCATACTATTCAGTGCTTTAAGAAAAACGTATTTTAAAGCTGGGCACAGTGGCTCACGCCTGTAATCCTAGCTACTCAGAAGGCTGAGATCTGAGGATCTCGGTTCAAAACCATCCCGGGCAAGAAGGTAGTCCATGAGACACTTATCTCCAATGAACCACCAGAAAACTGGAAGTTGCACTATGGCTCAAGTGGTAGAGTGCTCACCCTGAGCTGAAGAGCTGAAGGATAGCACCCAAGCCAGAGTTCAAGCCCCATGACCGACAAAAAAGTATTTTAGATATGAAATACTAACTGACATCCCTTTATAATATGGCCAGAGGAAGTCCCAACATTGAAATACCGTATCAATGCTATTAAAGTAATTTTAGCACGTAATCATCCAATTCTGGAAAGATAACAAGCAGGTAGAATAGGAATTGTGACTGGTAGTTGGGTAGATAGAGAAGTTTGGCTTGTTTTATTTGTTCATTTTAGAGAGTGGATCATCTCCTGAAACAAGATTGTCTTACAGAAGCCTTGGCTCTGGCATGGTCTTTTCATGAAGGAAAAGCCAAAGCAGTGGTGGGTAAGTACAGAGTATAGAAATTGATATGTCACTTTTGAAAATTCTTTTATAAGGAAAATTTATGAGAACAAAGAAGTACATTGATGTGCTTCTGCTCCAGTGGATGTGAGGTACCCTGTTACCCAAGGTTTGACCCTAAGGTTTATTAGAAGTCTATGTGTTGTTAGCACGGGCAACAAAGAGAAGACGAGAATACCAGGTTCTCTTCTGAAGTTGTATACTCTTTGTTTCATGATGGACTGTGTCTCTGCAGGGCTATCAGGGGATGCCAGTAAACGAAAGGCTGTTGTTGCTGATCGGGTGAGTATTTTAATGGAGTTTTCACTAGGCTCAGTACAGATTTGCTTTCATGTTCGCTAATATCTTTGGGTGTGATTCAAGGAGACAGAATCTATATAAAAAAAGGTCAGATTATAATTACTTGGTATCACTGTGAATACTTTTTAAATTTCCTTCTTACCACTTCTCAATCCTCCTCCCCTTTCAGACTCCTATGAAGATAATAAAATAGTAGTATAGACAGCAGAAAATCCTGGGGATTCATGAATGGTTTGCTTTTTAGAGAAAGAACTACAGAGGAAGCTTATTGAAGAATTAACTACTTTGTTTCATTTCCAGAGTTGATGTCTGGAACATAGAGATATTTCAGAAGAAAGAACAGAAAATTAGTACCAGCCTGAGGCTGAAAAAAATTAGGCTAGGATTAAAAATAATTTAGGAAATAAAGCCACTAAAATTTCAAATGGTAATTTTAATATAATATTAAAGCCTGATTTGGTATTATTTAGGAGGGTCACACACTAAATATTTTAGAAACTTAGAGACATATTTTGATTTCAAAGATGTTTTCTTTACAGATGGTCGAAATCCTATTCCATTATGCAGATAGAGCTCTGAAAAAGTGCCCAGACCAAGGAAAGATTCAAGTAATGGAGCAGCATTTCCAGGTACACCTTGAACAAATTGGTAATGAGACATTGCTATGGACAGGCTGTGTCCTGGGCTTTCATATAGCTTGAGATTGTGACTTTCATGTTTTGGTTAACATCTTTTAGTATGCAAAGCCTTATTTCAAAGCTTCTGAGACCTCCTGCATGGTTGATTTTGGAGGAAGTAGGTATGTAGTCACAGGCTCCAGAGTTGCTTGGTGCTAAACCATTTAGTGCTTTGTGAAAGGAAAGGATGTATGGATGAGAGAACACACCTGTGAGTTGACACCTGACAGTGGGTAACACCTTGCTAATGACTAACATTTATGTTAAGTAGGGTAGTTAGCACCTTAGTATGTACTGCTTAGGTTTAAATTTAGTTCTCAGAAGCACCTGTGGCTGCAGACTAGCTCAGTTACAAATATATATAATCTATAAAATATGCTAATTACAGATATTTAGTTATCTTGGAACTTGAAAATGAAAGCCACTTTGAAGATATGCATATTTATTTTCCAAGTTTTCCTGTTGCAGTTATCTACAATTATATTTGCTGCAAATCTCTAGTTTTTTCCCATCCATGCCAGGCAAGTACTACACTATACCACTGAACTATATCCTCAGCCCAAGCTACCTTCTCAAATATAAAGGAACAGCAAACTTTCTAAGAAGAGCTGGATGGTAATTTTAGGCCTTGTGAGTCACAAATGATCTCTGACATATAATCTTGTTTGTTTGTTTTTCTGTGTGTTTTTTTTTCTTTGTGCTAAAGGTTGAGCCCAGTTCTTTGCTCATGCTAAGCACACTTTCTGTACTAAATTATATACCCAGTCTTCTTTTAAAAGGTAACATCTCAAAAATGTAAAAACTATTCTTAGCCAGGTACTGGTGACTCACACCTGTAATCCTACAAAGGAGGCTGAGATCTAAGGATCATGGTTCGAAGCCAGCTGGAGCAGTAAAATGAGCATGAGACTCTTACCTCCAATTAACTACTCAAAAACTTGAAGTGGCACTGTGGCTCAAAGTGATAGAGCACTAGCCTTGAGCAAAAGAGCTGCGGGACAGCACCCAGGCCCTGAGTTCAAACCCCACAATCGCTAAAAAAGAAAAAACAATTCTTGGTTGTAAATCATATTGAAAGAGATTGTGGGCAGGATTTGACCCTTGTGCTGAAGTATGTGTTCCCTGGTTTAATATAGTCAAGCCACCAAGCAGTAATGAATAAAATACATATGGTTTTTACAACCTTAAAGTTTAGAATATAGTTACATTTTTTTTATTTAAGAAATTTAAGATTTTGAAGTTCTATGGAACAAGCACTAATCCTGTTTTTATACCTCAGTTTGAATGCTCTTTAACTCTGGAGCACAAGTATACAGTAATTAAAAGTTGGATGGTAGCTGGCATTACCCTTTATGGCTTATTAGTGAACAGTTTCTATTAGTTCACTGTAGAACAAACAGGATAAATTGGTATAATTGCCAAAGGAATGTGAGGATAGTATATTCATAAAGTACCCACAACATAGCTTTTTTATTTCTTTTTAAAAAAATTTATTGTTGAGGGGGGACCAAGATGGCGACGGGGCAGTAGGGAAACGCCACAGCTCTCTCCAACCAAAAAGAGAGTTCGAGTTCCAACGCTTAATCTCCCCAAGAGACCGACAACAACAAAAAGACGAACACTCAGAGAAAAACCAGAGGTGAGAAATAACAAAAAAAGAAAGAGAAGAAAAGAATTTC